GCATGATTGAACCTCCCTTCTAACATCTTTGATAATTCCTTGTTAGAAAGCTTCATCTTGGCAATTATCTTGCAGGAGAACTGTTCCCCATGTTGCGGAAGACGACTATCGGATAGAGTAAAAACGTAACTGATAATTTGAGAAAATAAAAATTGAAGATAAAAGAGACACAAATTTATGTGGGAAACCCTAAATATAGGGTAAAAGCCACGGGCAACGGTAGAATTTCACTATAAGAAAATATGAATTACAACTTCTCTCGATCTACCAAGGAGAAAACAATGATAATTCTCTCTTCATAAAAGGAGAAAACAACTCTCAAGAAACTCTCTAAATTCTCTCTAGTATTGGAAGAAAGCTAGAATGCTTTGGGATGATTTTAAGCTAAATGAGCTAGGGTATTTATAGTTGAAGCTTAAGGACTAATTTGAAAATACCTTAAATTATAATGACTAAAATTGAGATTTTACCATTGTCCAAATTCAACTAAAACCAAACAAAGTTTCGGTGCATTAATATTGTTGACTTCATGCCAACTTGCTTGGCACTTTCGGTGGCATGCATTTTCAACAATCTCTCACTTAAAGATTTGATTGGAACAATCATATCTTCACACTATTCTTTCTACCTTGTACCTTCATGTGCTTACATTTCTGCAGGCCACAGGAGGATCGAAACCAAGTAAATTTATCAGCATTGATTGCTTTCGTCATGACTTGCTATGTTGTCTTTGGTATGGATCTTCTGCAATATCTACCGTCCCTTCTACCTTTTCACGAATGAAATGGTACTGAACTCGTATGTGTTTTGTCCTTGAATGAAATGTTGGATTTCATGTTAAATGCAAGACGCTTTGACTGTCACAAAACAAAGAGAATACTCTTGATTGTGCCCAAGCTCCTCCAATAGCATTTTCAACCAGATTGCTTCTTTACTGGCTTGTGTAGCTGCTATATATTCTGCTGTTGGGGATGTAGCCACAATTGACTGCAATTTTGAAACCCATCTTACAGCCACCAGCAACTTTAAACACTATCTTGTAGTAGATTTGCTTTATCCAATCCCCTACATAGTCAGAATCAACATACCCATTGATAAGTAAGTTTGATCCTCCGTAACATAAGGCAACATTTGAGATCCCTTTGATGTATCTCAGGATCCTCTTTATTGATTTCAATTCTCTTTGCCTGGTTCTTCATGTACCGACTAACCACTCCCACTGCTTGTACAATGTCTGGTTTGTGCAATGTCTGGTCTTGTGCATATCATAGAAAACAAACTTCCCACTTCCATGCATACGGTACTCGAGACATCTCCATCCTCTCTTCTTCATGCTAGGACTCATACTGTTTTGTGTTAATGATTATAGAAAATATCATAATTAATGATTATAGAAAATATCATAATTACGTGATTATTTGACGATTATAATTATACATTTCGTTATAATTTTAGATATTTCATATTTTTAATAAAGTTATTGCTTAAGAAAAAACCAAAAAGGGATATTCAATTGTTCTCTCTTTCCCCTGTAATGTAAATTACCCGAAGCTAACTCTTACTTAAACACCAATCTAGACCGAAGTGTTTAAAAGTAATGCTACTTCAATATTAAAGAATGCAGCACTTAACATTTGACCAAGCTTTAAACAAAATTATAACAACCACATAAATAATTTGACCTATTCGGATGAAAAGAGAGCCCTAAAAACTTACTAATTAGCATTCCCGATGGATTGCTTAACCTTTAGGGGGTGTTTGGTTCAAGGATTGTGGGATTCTCGTGGGATGGGAATCCCACATTCCCATGTTTGGTTGGCCGGGAATCTCATTCCCGGTAATGTTTTATTACCAATAGTAGATTTTTTGGGGTATATTACCGGGAATGTCATTACCTCCCTTCCTTTAGGTATTGTAACATTACTGGCGTTTTGGACTAAAATGCCCTTAAATTTTTATTTTTTTTTCAAAAATATCATTCTTCTATCATTGAATAATAAAAATTCTACGAAGGTTAAATTACAAATTTATCCTTAAATTATTTTAGATTTACAAAAAAAAATCTATAATTAAAATTTTATATGAAATTCAGGGATTAAATTTTTTTTACCCTTTCATTATATTATACAAATATATAATAAGGACAATTTGGTCAAATATACATTCTAATAATCTTTTATTCCTTTAACCAAACACGGTAATCTTACATTCCTGCTAAACCAACCAAACACAAAATATAACATTCCCAGTAATCCTATTCCCTGGTAATCTTTTATTCCCACTGGTAATCTTATATTCCGTGAACCAAACGCACCCTTAGGAGACAAAGAATCAAATTTTCGATGACCTTATGAGGTTCATACACTAAACAAAACAAGGACACAAAAGTATAATAATATTTTTAGTTGATGCTGTTCAATAAATTTAAATTTTTTAATATTTGCGGTTCTCTTTTGCGTGTCATTAAGCTAACAAAATTGGCCAACTTTGGTTATTTAAAATATTTTTACGCTATAATTTGCTCCATGATGCAGGGAAAAGAGAACGAGAGATTTGAAAGGAATAATTGCAACGTATGATTTTCAGATAGTGATAGAGAATTATACTTCGTTTTATTTTTTAAAATAAATTTTATTTTATATTTTTTGTAAACTAAAAAATATATTTAAATTAAAAATTTAATTTTAATAATAAAAATATAAAAATAAGTCAAAATGTTTAGTTTTTTTATAATGAAAATGTTAGAGTTGTGTGATTTGAATTTTGTTTAATCTAATTTGAAAATTTTATGATACAACTTATGATTCAACTTGTTGAATTCACACGAAACCATATTTCCTTTTATATAAATTATTATCATAATAACTGATGTTAAGATTAAAAATTATATATAAATTGATTAATTCTCAAATTTCGAATAATCATTATTATTATTTTATTATCTCTTTTTGCAAATACTAAAAATTTTACTTCTTTATCATAATTCCTTTTGGTATAAAATTTTACTTATTATTTTATTTTATTAATTCTCAATATCGTGATATGTTATACCAACTTTTTGTTTCTTAATTTAATACGAGAGAATAGAGATTAGATTTGGAAATACGTTGCCCCCACATCACCTAGCAATCAAAAATGTAATCTTTTTTGCAAGTGCGATTACAAATTAAGGAGGTGTTTCCTTGAACAACTCGTCGGGTCCAAAACCTTATCCACCGGCCTTCAAGAAACCTCCGTTACTTTCCCACCCACCATTAATATTATTACTGACCCTTTTTCAAAAAGAGCACAACTTGTATTATAATTAATCAACCATCCAAATCATTGTTTTAGCCGAAAATGTTTATGCTTTTTATCTTAATTTATTGCCAATTTTGTAATCCCAATTGTTTACGTTGTCATGACCAAAAAGCAAATGTAATCGTGGAATGGTTATACTGTTATGACGTTGTAACGAGAGATTTATATTAAAATTATTTTTATGCACTTAAATACTTCATTGGTGTCAACGGATGACAATCTTTAAAACGCTTTCAATTTACACTTTTTATTTTTTTAAGTTAGGTGTCCAATATCCATTAGGAATAAAATCTTTTTTCCTCTTTCCCTAAATAGGAAATATTTCAATATATATATATATATATATATAATATAATTCATTGGCTTTTAAATATATACTTTTAACTATAAGCTTTTAATTGATTAACCATTCATGTAATTATATTTTTAAAAGATGAGAAAACTTTGACAAATAAAAAATTAAGAACATAATTTAATTAATTCGTGTCATAATTTATAAAAGCTGACATTTAATAAATTTTAAGTACAACTTCAAAATAAATAAATGAATTTAAAATTTAAACCACACTATTTACATAATTTTCCTTATTATTAAACAGTTTATGATTGCATTTATATATAAACCTAAAAGCTTGGTTGATGTAAGGACCAACAACCTTGTGAAATATTAGGGTCTAAGTTACGATATCGAAACATTGGGACCGATAATGATTTATAACTTTAACTTAATACCAACCCAAACAATAAACCCAAAAATTGGTGTCTACACATCAACAAAATCAAAAAAAAATTAATCATAAAATCAAAACTAAATTATAATATCATGATAGAATAATATTTTTTTTATTAATAAAATTAATTAAAGTGTAAACAATTTGATATTACTTAAGTAAATTTTAAATTTGAGTTATTGTGTATGCGTATAATCTTCATTGAGAAACTCAATCATCAAAAATAAAATGTATAACACGATCCAAATTAATGAAGACAAACCTTTAAAAACCTAAAAGACAAATAAAAAAATTAGAATAAATATTTTTCCCATAATAAAATGAGAAAACCCACCTTTTATATATAAAATTAAAATATTGTAAAATATTATTAAAAATGTAAAAAAGAATAGCTTGGGAACTGGAACTGCTTTTCAATTACCGAGAGAGAAGAAATATAAATTATTTGAGGAAGAAAAAGGGAAACAATCACGTGAAAGTCACGTGTTAGGTACCAAGCTTGTGGTCCAAAATTGTCCTTATTGACTGTCCTTCCCAGTGCTGCCACCTTAACTTTTATCATCATCGGGTCACGCTTTTACCGCCCAACCTTAAATATATTTTGTGTGTGATTAATATCGACAAGAAGGCACGAATAGATGTGTTTAAATATTATTAAAATAAAAATATATTCGTTTGTTATATTTAATAAAATTATATTAAAATTTAAATATAATTAATATATGAGTTTTAGTTACATATATCTTATTTAAAAATACTTTTTAAATTTGACATCTATTTTAAATTGCTTTCGACATTTATTTTTTCGGGAAACATCTTATGTTGATATATTAAAAATGAGCAGAATAATTAAAATTGAATATGAGTTAGCTACGTAGACATACAAGGATAGATATGAGTCAGGTTTCGGTCAATCCGATTTAACTCAAAAATTTTATATTTTCACACGACTTGACTTAATCCGATCCGAAAAATATACTCTCTACCAGACTCAAATTATAAGATAAAATTTAAACCCGACCTAAAATAATAAAAAATATTATTTTTATTTAAATAAAAACAGTAATTTAATTAAAAATATATATTTAGAGGGTATTATTATAATTATTCTTAAATATATAAGGTAAAATTATATTTTTTTCGGGTCGGGTCAGTTCGGATATTTTTTACTCTAAACCCGAATCTGACCCCGACCCAAACATCACCTTTAAAAAATCCACCCCACTCAATCCGAACCCAATTTTTTAAAAAAAATCCGATCTAACTCAATCCGAACCTGAATATTTTAAAAAATAAAACTGACTCGATCGAGTTAGGTCGGAAGTCATCGGGTTCGGGTCTCATGCCCATCCCTATAGACATATGTGTATTAATTTTATGTTAAATCATTCAATAAATAAATATATTTTAAATATTATATTTAAACAATGTGATATTTGAAATTTTCAACAATTTTCTCAAATATTTTATTTTAGCATGAAATATTTTTACGAGGTATATCTAAAATTAATGTAAACTACTTGTTTAGTATCTAAACTATTAATTTTGATCTGTTTTAGTACTTATTTTTTTTATTTTTTTTAAATCATACATTTAGCTTTTGTTTCATTTTAGTATCCAGTCGTTAAAAACTTAACAGACGGGCTGACAAGATAGAGCTCTAGTGGACGGATTACCAATATGAATTGTAGACCACAAGAAAATGATGAGTCGACTAACATAGTCCAGTTTCATACCTATTGGACAGTGAACTATAGAGATTGAAGGATGAAGATATCGAAGAATCCATCATCGATTTGGGGAGAATGATGTGTTTATCGATGAAACGGAGGTCGAAATCGCGTTTAGGAGGTCGAAAAGGTGTGAGTTGGAAAGTTTGAGCTTCATCGACAGACAGATGCGACAAATGTAGACGCAATGGCTGACAAGCTCGTCTGTTGAGTTTTTAACGACAGATTATTAAAATAAAACAAAAATTAAACGTTATATATAATTTTAAAAAAAATTAAAGTTTAAAAACCAAAATTGATAGTTTATGTATTACATGTATTTTATCCTAACATTTAATATTATTATAACAATAAGTGATATTTTAATATGGTTCTTTATTTATCCATCATATACTTTCAATCACTTAATAAATTATATGTTCAAAATTGAAAATAGTCTTTTATATTAAAATGGTTAGTCAAAGAACTAAAATTTATTTATTTCTAAATAACAAGTATAGTAAAGAATATATCATCCAATAATTTTACTCCAATCCTACGATATAACATATTCGGTCCACCCGAGAGTATATAATTAATTCAATCATAGTTCTGCCACGAGGCGAAGAATCAATGGTCCGAAGCACTAAACAAAACAGGTAAGCGGCCAAGTTGAGGTGAACACATCCCGAGGCCGTAATATCCAAGATTCCTTTTATACGTTATCTCAACAGTTGCATTTCTAAGGCTAAACGAATTTTGCTCCCATCTTCCAAGAAACATAATAAAGACCGACAGAAGACTAAATCCGTCTATTTGATATAACTGACATCGTTTTTTTTTTAATTTTTTCTTTCTGATACGTTTGACTAATATTTCTAGAAGTAGCACCATTTCTGTTTGGCAAAGGTGCATCCTCGGGGACGCGCTTTACCCGTGTTTTTTCGCTGAGTTGGATGCCACGTGTGGAAGGCGCATCCCCGGGACGCGCCTTCCATTAAATTCCATTAAATGTCATAAATGCCTCCATCCGTTTTTCCTAACTACCCCCTCCTCCCCTATATAAGCCCCCTCAACCCTCCCTCATTCTTCACACCAAAATCATATTCTCCTCTCTTATATAACTCAAATTCTTCAACTATTTGAGTTTTAAATTTGTTATTAGTGGTAAGAAATTTATTTTTATGTTAGTTTTTTTAAATAGTTATTATTTTTTATATTAATATATTTATATAATATTATTTTTTTATTAAATAATATTTATATAATTATATTTATTTAGAATTATTAATTTTTTTTTACTAATTATATTGTTTTGTCTACAGTTATAATGGAAAACGAAATGCTGTTGCGATTGGATATTGATCATATCTCCAGACATTTTAGCGATATGGTAATATTTTTTATAATTAATGTTAATATTTAAATTTATTTTTATTTTAAAGTTATTATGAATTTATATTAATTTTTATTTTTTATAATGTATATTATTTAGGATGCTGATCGTATTTTAGAGACTTTTATTAAAATCCACGTATACCGACACCGGAACGTATTTTGCCATATTTGGCTTCTACCGGGTTCGGGTATATTGCAACAATTATAGGCAGTTGCAAACTCGAACCTGTCCTAATTTCTGCACTGATTGAGAGGTGGAGGCCCGAGACGCACACTTTTCACCTTCCATGTGGAGAGGCGACAATTACATTGGAGGATGTCTCTATGCATCTGGGGCTTCCCGTCAACGGAAATATGATGTGTGGTATGGCGGATGGTGATTGGCAATCAATGTGCATTGATTATCTTGGAGCTGCTCCGCCAGAGTTTAATGGAGATAGAATAGCTTTATCTTGGTTGAAAGCTAATTTTGAGGTTTTAAATGAAAATGCTTCAGAGGATCAAGCAAAGGCATGTGCTCGGGCATATATTCTACGAATAATTGGAGGAATATTGATGCCCGACAAATCTCGCAACCATGTGCATTGTATGTGGTTGCGGCATCTGATCGATTTTGATGAAGCTGGAAGATATAGTTGGGGTGCTGCAGTTTTGGCATTTCTCTTTAGAGAAATGTGTCGGGTGACGAATTATAAGAAAACTGCTATCGGTGGATGTCTTCTACTTCTACAATCATGGGCGTGGTTCCGCATGCCTTCTTATGCCGTCGTGAATGAACCATACGTATTTCCCTTATTGTTGAGGTAATTTTCGAACTAAATTTGATTTAAATATTTTCAATTAAATAGGGTGGTATTTAGTTTATATTATATTTCATAGGTGGTCGATGAAAAGAAAGGACCATAAAAGTATACCTACTGGGTTAGAGGAAATTCGTTTACTTATTGATACGAAAGCTGGGTCTGAGGTATGTTTTTAAATTTGTTTAATTATTAATATTTTAATTTAAAATGTTAGATATAATTAGAATATTTTATTTATTTGAATTGTATATTATATTTCAGTTTCAGTTGATACCTTATGCGAGCGATGAAGTGAAAGCTTGCATCCCACCCCACCTTAGTGGGTCATTAGAGGTATGGATATCGGTTATACCTCTTATATGTTATGCTATTATTGAGTGGCATCCAGTTGATCGCGTGCTCCGTCAGTATGGTTGTACGCAATATATTCCTGGAGCTCCTAGGAATTTAGACGACGTGCATAACATAGATAGACGAGGAAATAAAGATGTTAACTGGGTGGTAAGACACAGAGATTGGATTGCGCTTTGGGAGAACCGATATACACTGGTGGCCCCTCGACAATATTACGCTGAAACTGGTCATATGGTTACGGATAACTATATGGACTGGTTTAATGAAAATGGGAAGCCGTTTCTACTTTCGGCGGAAGCACGAGGGGTTAACATTCCTAGGCGTTGAGAAAGACGTCAACCGTCTCAATATCATCGTCCCCCGACGCGTGGACGGAGAGAAGGCGCAACCGGTTCTGCATCAGTCCCACCACAATATCCTTATTCGTCGATGCTGCAGGGGTACATGCCCAGCCCTCCACTTCATATGCTAAGCCCACCAGTTTATATGCCATCTCCGCAGGGTTACATTCCGAGCCCACAGGGTTACATTCCGAGCCCGCAGGGTTACATTCCTAGCCCGCCAGGTTACATGCCTAGCCCGCAGGGTTTTATACTATATGGAGGTGCATATACGACTATGTTTAATGATCCAGCATATGGTTCATATGCATCTTATTTGGCTGGTGGTGCTTCTCCGCAGACACCTCAATCTCCATCTGGATCACATACATCGATGCCAATGTTTCCACAGTTTTCACAGTTCCCGGGGAGCGGTGGGATTGTTACTAGCACTCCTCCAGGGTCGTTATTTTATACAGGCCCTTCAGCCCCTTTAGCGTCATCTACACCAAATGAAGAAAATGCTGCTGATGATGATAGTGAATATGAGGAGACTGAAGAACAAGTTCCACGAAGAAATCCTCCACGAAATAGACAACCACCGCCATGTGGAACTCATTCGAGAAGACGACATCGGTGATCCAGTTATATATAATGTTATTTAAATAATAATATTTCAGAATTTTATGTAATTTGGTTATGTTATTTAAATGTTTCATGGTTGTTACATACATATTTTTTAATGTTATTTTTTATTCACATTTAACATTAAATGTTTGATAAATGTTTTTAAAATACAAATTATATTATTCAAAATTTAAATTTAAAATAAAAATAAAAATAATATTATTCAAATTTAAATTTAAAATATAAATTATAGTATTCGAAATTTAACATTAAATTTCAACTTAATATTCCAATTGTATTCGAAATTAAAAGTTATATTCCAATTATAGTTCACAATACTTAAATTGAAATTAAATTTATCCATACATATGATTTGATCATTAACATATATATTAAAACATATACATTAAAATCAACTTATGTTGAGTTCATCGATCGACGGAATCGGCCAAGAGGGGGTGAATTGGCAATTTATTCAATGTCACATTTCAATGCTCATTCCATACAATTTCAATGTCACAATCAACTTATCACTTCACATTTATTCAATTTATCCATAACATTTTATCTAATTTATTCAAACTTCACATAACGTTTTAATTTAAGTTATTCTTAACTTGCTGAACTTTCAAAAGAAGTTAAATTTTGGTTATAATTTACATGATTTACTGATATATCTAGTGTCCCCGAGGGACATGAGTGACATAATAGGGCAATGATAACATATTCTCTGACGAAATAATGGAAGGCGCGCCCCCGGGAACGCGCCTT